CCCCCCCCGCCGCGCTGCGCATGCGCCCGGCGCCACTCCATCCGGGCATTGGCAGTCCCGCCATTTCACCGGAGAAGCCTTTCCAAAGCCTTGCGGCCGCCATTTTATAACAAGGCCCATCCTCAAGCCACCATCCGGGCCGGGGAGGACCACCTCGGGGAGCCGGGACGCCCCGGGGTCCCGCTGCCCTCATCGCCGCTGGCGGGGCGGACTCCAACCCGGGCCCGCCCGCACGACCCAGGGGCTCCGCCTCGCGCGAGCGCCACTGGCCGCCCCGCCGCCCCGGGCCCCTCAGAGCCGGTGCCGCCAGAGCGCTCACCGCGGAGTCGGGAAGGTCCCTGACGCGGGCGGTAAGACGGCGCAGGACACACACCAGAGCCTCCTAACGCGCGAATGAAAGGGGGAGTGCCGGCGTCCCGCCTAATATACCACACCGCCAAAGCAACGCCCCTCAATCCCGCCCACTGCGCTGGCCCGACCAATCCGACACCTCAGAAGCGGCGCCGGCGCCTCAAAGTCGAGAGGCGGGACTCTGTCGACTTCGCCCCCTCCCACTCGCTGGCCCTGAGCGTTTTGATTGGCCGAGAGGTTCCCAGGCTGCAATCTCCCGCCCTCGGGCTCTCGGGGGCGAGATGTACGTGGTCGGAGGGCGGAGCTGACCCACTTCCTTGTTTCCCGCCCTGTTGGCCTGCGGCTGCGAACAAAGAGGTTCAAACCTCTGCTTTTAGGATCCTGCAGCATCCGTGTGATGCCCCAAATACAGCTCTAAAACGCCCGCAAATTAACTTCGCCCTTCTCCATTCCTTTTTCCTCTTAATATTTTGATTACATTTATTTCTTTTAGAGTGCGTTTATAGATGTTAGAGGACAACGGTCCAGAGTCTTCCCCAGCAAGCACCTTTATTCCCTTAAGCCATTTCGCTATCCCCTTTCCCCTTTCTCTCTCCCTCTCTCTTTTTTTTTTTTTTTTTGATTTTGGTTTCTTTTGTTTTGCTTTTTGGCTTTTTTTTTTTTTTTGGTGTGTGTGTCTGTGTGTGTGTGTGTGTGTGTGTGTGTGTGTGTGTATGCGTATATCACCTGCGTGTAGGTAAGTGTACCCGTGTCGGGCAGTGTCCACGGAGGTCAGAAGAGGCTGTTGGATCCCCTGGGCCTGGAGTTATGGACAGTTGTTAGCTGCCATGTGGGTGCTGGGATTCGAACCCGGGTCGTCTGCAAAGAACAACTATTGTTCTTAACAGCTGAGCCATGTCTCCAGCCCCCTTTTTTGGCTTTTTTTGAGACAAAAGTCTCATTGTAGCCCCAACTGGCCTGGAACTTGATATGTAGACTAGGCTGGCCTTCATCTCACAGAGATCCACCCCCCACCCCTACCCCCGGCTGTGATTAGAGGTAAGCACTAACATGCCTTTAAAATTTTTTTTTTAAGACAAGCATGGTGGCACTTGCCTTTAATCCCAGCACTAGGGAGGCAGAAGTAGGCGGATCTCTGTGAATTTAAAGCCAGCCTGGGCTACACTGAGTTCCAGGCCAGCTGGGGCTACAGGGAGACCCTGTCTCAAAAAGACAAAAATAAACAAGGTGTGTACTACCACGCCCGGCAGGCCTTTAAAATAGTTGATATGTATTAGAGGCTGGAGATGGCTCAGTGGTTAAGAACACTGGTTGTTTTTGCAGAAGACCCAGATTCGAATCCCAGCACCCACATGGCACCTAATAACTGTCCTAACTCCATTTCCAGGGGATCCGACAGCCTCTTCTGTCCTCTGCAGGCATACTCCAGTTCCAGGGAATCAGATGCCCTCTTCTGACCTCTATGGACATTGCACAACTTGGGTGTACTAACATGCATGCAGGCAATACACTTATACACATAAAGTAAAATACAGAAAATAAAAATAAAATATTTAAATATTATATATTAAAATATATACATATAGCTTATACATATAGCTGGTGTGTGTGCATTTGTGTACGTGAGTGCTGTGCTGGAGTTACAGGTTGCTGCTACTGACATGGATGCTGAGAATGTGTATGTATGTTTTGCCTTTTAACCTGCATGTACACCCGAAGGACACCAGAAGAGGGCATTGAATCCTCTGGCGGTAGAATTACAGGCACCACATTGATGCTGGGAAGGAACCCCTGATAGTCTGTCACTGCTCTTAACCAAGTCCCTTTCTCCCATTCTTACCCTAGCACCCAGCTCTACCTTCCTTGGTCTTGAGAGACCTATCAATAGAGTTGACACCAAGAACTCCTGAACATTCTATAAAATGTGCCCTAACATTGTGACCCCAATATTAGTTATGTCCATTTTTCCTCTTCCTCCAGACTTTAGGGCACTTCACCTGCTCTCAACCCCGCTTTTTGACAAATCTCAGTATGTACTTCCCCCCATCAGGTGCATCACCCACACCCTAATATGGCTGGCGAGGTACTTTTTTCTAAATGTATCTGCATCTTTTCTTTATTTGGTCCTAGAATGGAATCTAGGTCCTCACAAGTGCCAGGAAGGACTCTGTCCCTCACTGGGGGATCCTAGGCTGTCACTCTACCCCCTGAGCCATGCCCCCAGGCACTCACTGGGGTATTCTAGGCTGTCACTCTACCCCTGAGCCTCGTCCCCAGCCCCTCACTGGAGGATTCTAAGTAGCGGCCGTACCACTGAGCTACATCTCCAGCCTCTCTTTTACTTTTTGAGATAGAGCTTGTTTCCCAGTCTGTCTTTGATCTCAGTCTCTAGCTCAAGCTGACCGGCAACTCTCAATCCTCCCGCCTCAACCTCTCTGGTAGCAGAGGCCAGACTCTCTCCAGCAGACCCCAGTGTCTCACCTCTTTTGACTTTGCTTCAGGGGGTCATGAGACCCGATCTTTGTCAGAACCTTACCCCTACCTAAGGCGGGAGTGGGGCGGGTGGGGAGGTGGG